GGGGGGGGGGGGGGGGGGGGGGGGGAACAACATAACTATTAATTGCATTCAAATTTGATTGAATACAAAGATAAAGAGAAAAAACTTAGTTCCATAATGTATTGTACAAGGGGGGATATGCTTGTTATAGTGGTTGAATAATTAATATTTGAAGGAGCATTTACATTTATTACCTGCTGTTCCAAAACAATTTATTTCTTATGATACTTAATGATTGCAGGTCCCAATCTGTAATGAATGTCTGCTAGCTGACCACAAAGCTCCAGAGCATTTCTCTGAGAGAATAACTGATATTGAGGGCAAGTTCACTGATGAAATCCAGAACCTGATCACAGAGAGCAAGAGTAAAATCAAGTTCTGTGATGAGGCATCAAGTACCCTGGAAAATGCGCTTAGTGAGCTACAGATGCAACGAGACAATGCCAAGGGTCTGATACACGAAACATTCCAAAGCTATAAAGCAATGCTCGAGAAGAGAAGGGTAAGAATTTTGTTCTTTAGGAAACATTGATGAAACTCATCTATAATGCATATGAATTATTTCAGCTGTCAAACTCGATGGGAATATTGGGGGGGGGGGGGGGGGGGGGGGGGAATGTATGAAATTTCTGTTGTATGGGTCTGGTATTATTTCCAAGGCAAAGATGTAAAAATCCACTTGTCAGACATCGGGGCAAACAACTTTCATACTTCGGGAGGGGGGAGGGGGTGTCAGTTTGGAATGTGCGTTTTAGAGCATATTTGCTATTTATTGGCCTTGACAAATTCTTAAAAGTTTTGTTTTTAAAAGTCTTGGAATGTCCAAGAAGTCCTCGTAAGGTTTTCACTTTCATGTTTTTGAATAGTTTGCAAGTATGTATGAAACTAACCATGTATTGCAGTTCTAAATGATCAATTGTAATTTCTCTCGACAGGATGAGTTATTTCAAGAAATGGAAGAATTGCACTCGAAGCAAGAACTTGGTATCATGGACATGTTTCACAACCTTGAAAAGACTGTGGATAAAATTGAAGATGGCAGCAAATTTGCAGAAAAGATCGTGAAGCATGGCAACGGATTGCAACTGATCATGATGAAAAAGATGATATTGTCACAGCTTCTGTCCTTAATCAACAACACCCCAGTACCAGATGTTTCTATTGCTGTCGAGTTTCATACCGATACAAATGTCTTCCAAGAAGCTGTCAAGAACTGTTTTGGTTCTTTTTCCAAACCAGAGGCAAAGGTTTGTGCAATTAAGTGGTTTGTCTAATCCTTATACAGTTGTACTTAAAACACTACTATTTTGGGTAAGGTGAACGCACAATATTTTATGTGCAATTTCAAATTAGCAAGCAGATTTTTGAGCGACTTCAAAACTTTTTGATAATAATCAAAGACAGATGAAATGATGATCTTTTTAAGTCAAAATATTTGCACTGGATTTAGATATTGCACCTGACACACAAAAATGATGTTGATAACACATTGCTAAGTAACACTAATTGGTGTACTGTAGGATGGTAATAGGGAGGTGCCTAAGGAAGGCATTTAATTGAATTAGTTGGGGGGAGGGGGAAGTGTTACCCATGTCCATCCCTGCCCGATTCACTTTCATCACTCTAAAAACCTCATTCCTTTACATAATTTAAAAAGGTAGCAAGTGTTGGTTCAAATTTTGTAGTTTTAAGTGTTTTCACTAGTCTTAAAATAGCCCGTTAAATGTTCATATGCCATAATGTTCAACCTGTATGTATTCTGAAAAAATATAGAGTTCAAAATTAATAAATGGTGAATAACGGGCTACTTTTTCCAGCAAAGACGTTTAAATGACAATAAAACACTATTACTTGTCAGTATTAGGAGGAAAAGACATATCAAGAACTATTGAGACACTGTTTAGGGCCACAAAAGCTTATGCTGTTGCATAGTATCCTACTGTCTGTCCAATAACTTTTCCTTTTAAGGCTAGTCTGTAACATTAAGTGGAGTTTGACTAAGTGGGTAAAATATTTTTCTTTGCACCTTTGGAATATGTTCTGACAAAATGGAAGGCTCTGTACTCTATACCTTTTCAATTATACAAGTAGACTACTAGTTTTATCCTCCGATACCTGCCCATTAATATAAGACAAATTGGAAGCATTCTAATTACCATATTTTATGCACGCATTCAGGCCATTATACATGGTATTACCTGCTGGTAAGATTAATTAAATTTCTATCATCTTCTTCTTTCAGATTGAGGAACAACAGTCAACATCTCTGACATCTTCCTTTGAGAATGAAACCTTCATGAATCCAAGTAATTTGTTGGGCCTCAACAAGTTTGACCGTACTATTATCCCCTCTTCCTCTGATTTCATGCAGAGTCCAATGATGACCCCTGCATCCATGAGTGAGACCAGTCTGCCATGCATGCCTCCCATGCACAACATGACGGGTGGGCATGGGATCATGGCTACAGCTATTACTGGAGGGTCACAGTCCTGTCAGGAACCTGTCAGTCTGTCCCGTAATTCCCACAGCCCAGCCATGTCCGACAGTGGTATATCGGTTGACACTGCCAGCAACAACAGCGGTTCTAGTGCACCAATGCTGAACAACATCCAGGCATTGGCCAAACTTCATCCAATTGGGTTCAGTAATCAAGGTAGGGATCTGGCTTGAGTAGTTTTGACCTTTGATTTTTTTTATTTTTTTTTCTCAATAATTTCAACTGTTCTGGATTCATGCTCAGGTATGTTTACAGTACCTTACAATACAAGTAATTATTTAAGTGTTGGAACTGGTTTTAGATGGCAGTCATTGGTAATGGATGCCAACTGCATTAGAACTATTTTAGAAATAAAGACCATATTTTGGATATTGAGGATATGGTTATGTTTTGGTTTATTCATTGTAAACTCCAAAGCTGTCTTCCTTCTCATTTTTGATTTATGCACTATTGTTTGACTTCTGTGACTGCTATCAACTCTTAGGCAAAACGGGGAAGCAGTATTTTGATAGGATTAACACGCTCAATGTGTAACTGTCAGATATGTTAAAGGGTACACAATTAATTACTGCTCCATAGTCATACTGCATTTGTCTGAAAGCTACCGGTAACCTACCATAATCTAATGGCCAGATGGAGAGACTTGGTAACAAAAGGCATATGAAAGTACCAAACTTAATCGCACAGGAATTGGAAATCTCCCAATATGTAATGTACCAAAAGTTAACCATTCCATTTTTGGTAAAAATGCCACACATTAGCAAGATATGTCACTTATGACTCATAACAAATGTTCATAATAATTTTTCAACACGAACGTTTTATCAATATACTAATTTGTCATTCAGGTTGCACTTACTAACTATACTTACTTTTCAGGTATGCCCCCAAATTCCAGCGGAGGTACCCCTACTCCTATAAGTCATCCTGATCCTGGAATGATGATGCATCAACCCCCCACCCCTCGCTCGCAGACCCCAACCCTCGACTCCATCGTGGACATGCTGCACCAATCCCAAAACCCAAGCAGAGGTCTCAGCAGTATGTGTGCTAGTGGCAGTATGGGGAGCTTGGGCAGTGTCAACAGTATTGGCACTATGAGCAACATGATGAACCCCCCAGGTAGATTGATGTCACTCGTGTACATATTTAGTCTGTGTTGGGTCATTATGAAAGGTTTATATACACTTAATGATGTTATGGATTTATTATGACATCATTAAAATTAATCACGTCTCCTTAGGTGGAAGGCAAGGAAACAATGCCAGTTTTGTTTATTTCGTATTTATACGCCCATCGAAAGACCAGACATATTATTGTTATCACGTTGTTGGACCGGCTGGCGCACGCTTTGTCTGCTCAATATCTCTAGTTACTTTCAAGCGATAGAATTCAAACTTCATGCAAAGATGAATTGCCGTAAGAGCTGGTAGGACTGAGTTATGCTCCTTTAATCAATTGCTGAACATGGTTCGCTCGATATCTTGAGTAATTTTCAGTTGATTAACTTCATTGGAAGATTAATAACCATAAAAGCGTGAATGAGTTAGATAACCATCCTTAAAATGGTAACCTTGTTCGAGTTGCAAGTGACTAGATAATAGCTCAGACATATTCAGAGTAGTGTTTACTATTTACAGTTATAAATTAATGCTGAAAAACACTTTCAGAAAACTATGTAGGACAATTTTGAGGCTGTCGCATATGCAATATGTAACTTTCCATATTCGTACTATAAATTTCAGTTCTGTAGGAATCTTGGTATCTTTAGAAAAATATATACTGTCATTGCTGATATCAATTTCTTTAAAAGGAATAGTGATGACTTCATGGAAAAGATCTCCAAATACTATTGCACTCAATTTGATTTCGCATATAAACATACAGTCGAACCTCGTTATCTCAAAGTAGACGGGGTCGTGGGAAAACTTCGAGTTATCCGAGTATTCGAGTTATACGGGTTCATAAATTTGGTGTGAAATGTTGTTGAACATAGCACTAACAGTTGTCGATTATAAAAATAACCAATGCTAATAATCTATCGATGAATGATATACGTAATCAATATAACACATATACAGGTATGTAATTTTACAATAAACACTCTTACAAAAATACTGTTGAGTAAGTTATTTCCGAAAAAGTGCTTTCGTTTAACGCGTTCAAAACGGTTGGCCCATATTGTGAACTTGTTATTAAATTTGGACGGGCCTAGTGATTAAATGTTGTTTTGGGCTAGTCTAGAACTTGGCAAAGTCTTTCCAGGTCTGCATTTGTATTTGCAAGTCTGTCAAGTTTTACTTCTGAAGGGTTACATTTAAAAATCGAACTATCCCGCTGTCTTCGTACTCGTACTTTACAATGAGGAAATGAAAGTCTGCATGTCTAAAACAAAACACTAAGGGAGCGTACGCATAGTTGATTCTGTAAATGAAAACACACCCAAACATATTATATCGTACATGTAACACATTAATTCATTAAAGCTAAATCAACAGCAAATATCGTATTGTTCTTAAATCTCTTGATCGACTTTCAAAGCCATACTGGCTCCTGTAAAAACATGAACCCGTAAAGCTGTCTTAGGTTGTGATTTTAACTGTGGAACACATTTATGCATGACCACGCTTTGTAACCAATTTTCCAGTTTGCACTGCCGTCTGTTTAGGTGTACAAATCATAAACGGACTCGCAGTAAGTACAGAATACTGTTGATCAACATTAATTAAGTTTGTTTTTTATTATAAACAACACGTTTCGGCAGTCCGCACACTTTACAGTCTGAAGCTTTATCGTAATTCTTTTTACCGATTAAGTCGACTCGCGAAAGATGTTCATAAACACGGAATGGCGAGATGTCGTACTGTAATAAGTGAAAAAATAAAATTCGAACATTAAGAAGTAGACGATGTTTTGATGTTGGATTTACGCTATTGAAACCAATATCTTGCTTTGAGGTTTGAGTTTTTAGGTCGCCTGAGACAAAGTCTCAAGTGACCTATTGCGATCGCCTTTTGTCCGTCGTCCGTCATGCATCCGTAAACAATTTACATTTTCGACTTCTTCTCCAAAACCCCTGAACCAATTTCAATGAAACTTTGCAGGGACCTTCCATGGACAAAGATCAACAAAAACAGTCGCCGGTTTAGTCCTAAGCCCCCAGGGGCCTGAGGGGCGGTGCCAAAAAGGGTCAAATTGACTAAAATTTCAAAATTCTTTTCCTCCAAAACTCCTGAACCAATTTCAATGACATTTTGCAGGGACCATCCATGGACAAAGGTCAACAAAAATAGTGGCCGGTTTAGTCCCAAACCCCCAGGGGCCTGAGGGGCGGGGCCAAAAAGGGTTGAATTGACTAAAATTTCAAAAATCTTCTTCTCAAGACCCAGATATGGTAGAATCAAATACTCTTCATAGATGGAAGGGTCTTAAGGTGCTTTACCAAAATTGTGAATTTCATGACCCTGGGGTCTCACGTTTCCCCCTGGGGAGGGGGGAAACTTTACTATAGTTTATATAGGGAAATCATATTTTGGACTAATATTTGTGTAATTTTCATTGGAAGTAATTCAATTTGGGTAAGCATTATCAGTATTAGGTAGCAGTTTGATGGTATGCACCTATGAGCCCTTTGGTTGAATTGACTGAAATTTCAAAAATCTTCTTCTCAAGACTCAGATATGGTAGAATCAAATACTCTTCATAGATGGAAGGGTCTTAAGGTGCTTTACCAAAATTGTGAATTTCATGACCCTGGGGTCTCACGTTTCTCCCTGGGGAGGGGGTAAACTTTACTCTAGTTTATATAGGGAAATCACATTTTGGACCAATATTTGTTTAATTTCCATTGGGCAAAATTTATTATGGTTTATAATGGCAAATGATACTTTGAATATTACATGTTAATAACTTGATTGGAATTATAACCTTGAATTGACAGTTTGATACTTTGAAAATTTTGAGCCAGCCCTACCCCCAAGGGCTGTAGGGTGGGGCTCAAAGGAGTCAGTGTGCTAAAATTTCTTCATTTTCCTTGCTAAGAATCAGAGGCGCTAGTTTCAAATCCTTTCTAGTCTGAAATCTGTATGCTAGATATTGAGTAAGGTGGTTTTATTGTTTTTTGTCACTGTGAATAATATTTCTGTTCATGTTAAAAACAAAATCAACTCTCTGTATAAATATATCAGGTGACCGTTAAGGCCCATGAGCCTCTTGTTGGACTTTTCATGGTTCAAATTATCAGAGTTCTATTTACTTAGATAAAGAAGAGACTTGGACGGGATCGGAGAAATACTTTGAGATATCGGGGTCTTCGAGTTAAAAGAGTTCTAGATAGCGAGGTCTGACTGTATTACATTAAATTGAATGCAGGTGACCAATACTTAAGCTGCCCTGAAAAGATCTCTAATTGTACAAGTTGGCATCAACACCTGGAGTCTAACCTTTACCTGCTATCTCTGGTTCAAAGATCTAGACCTTACAGGGGATCAGGATTACTGTAGATGTATGTTGGTTAACTTGGTTTAAATTTGTTCTCATTTCAAAGTGGTAACATTTGATCAACTTTTCAAATGATTTCGAATGAATACATGCATTTGTGAACAAATTTGCAAGTAAGCATGGATAAGCAAGTAATAGATTACATTTGTGATTGATGTCCTTATAGCTCCAATTGGAACTGAACGAAGTACGAGCAGTGTCAGTCCTACCGGAAGCTCCATCAACTACCCACCACCTGTACGCAGGGGTAGTAAAATGAGTGCTATGCAAATAAGGTGAGTTTGGATATTTCCTATGAATAAAATAGTTGGCTCTATGGTGTTTGATTATTTTTCCATGAACTAATTGTTAGGTAATTGCCTGCCATTAAACAATGCAATACAAAAAAAATGTCATATTTGTGTGGCCTTATGTATTTTTTTTAACAATTTCTAGATACATCTTCGAAACTGTCTAATGAAACATTATGATTAGGTTTAAACCAAAGTTTGATGTAGTTGACTTTGTCCTTGTTATGATATTACTGGATGAAAGGCTACAAAATACCTACACCCTTGTTTGCCTCGTGTAAAATTGCACACCCAAGAAAGTGATCTAGTCAATTGTTTGTATGGTAAACTATGGACTGTTGTAGGAAGAGTAATTTATGGAGTCTAGACATAGTGTGGCTATTACTGAAGTTACAGTTTACAAGTTCCTTGTTTCTACACAGGTGCAAATTTGGACAATTAGGCCCAGGAAAAGGTCAGTTTAACTCTCCACATGGATTCTGTTTGGGAATGGAAGAAGACATAATTGTGGCCGATACAAACAATCACCGTGTTCAAGTGTTCGAGAAAACCGGTGAATTCAAGTATCAATTTGGTATCCCAGGTAAATTGATTTTCTCATCATGGATTATTTTTATGAAAACAACTCCAATTGAAACCTGCTTCCAATGGAATTGAGGTTAAAAAAAATAGAGATCTGCTTAATTTTTTGTGTGTTAAAAGTTCCTTTGATTTGCTGTCAATTATTTCTAATTTAATGTATATGAATACTTGCCAACTTTTTCAAAAATATTACGTGCTCAGAAATAAAAGCATAAATGAAATGTGTATGTATACTTTAGAGGAAAAATAAAACTTTTAAATAGCATGTTTTGAGCTGAAATCATCAGATTGTTCAGCAAATTTAAGGTTTGAAATGCTCAATTTTATGGACCAAATTCGAGAGTATTTTTTCAATCTATAATTCTTTCTGGTCCAATTTTACTTAGAAATGTAAGGGGTCGGGGAGGGGATTGCAAAAAACTGGAAATGTATGGAAGTCTGCAAATTAAGGTTTTTGGATGTTTGCAAATTTTTGTACTGGTTAAAAGAACTCGAGTGTTTTTCTCCACTGTTAGGGAGAGAGGAGGGCCAGCTCTGGTACCCACGCAAGATAGCTGTCATGAGAAGCAGCGGAAAATATGTGGTTTGTGATCGTGGAAATGAGCGTTCGCGCATGCAGATGTTTACACGCAATGGACATTTCGTGAAAAAGATAGCTATCCGTTACATTGATATTGTTGCTGGCTTGGCCATCACCTCGCAAGGTAAATTGTCTATCTTTCTTTCATCTGGTCATCAATCTGGTACTGATATCGCACAAAAAATCCTTCATATCAAACCAGGGACCCTTCGTGTTAATTGTTGAGCTTTCAGCAAAATTTCTGATATAGAATCATGTTTAAAAGAGTTTTCAATGAAATATCAATCTAAAATATAATAAATTTGTTTGGATTTGTATCCAATACTTCTATGCAAGTTATTAAATTTCTATGGGCGATACTCTTAAACAAAAGTTGGAGTCCTTGGATGGATTACATTTTTTTCTGTAATAACCCTCAGATAATTCCTTTCCCATATAGCAGAATGAGATTAGAATTTGATTACAAGTAAGAAGTTTGTAGTAAACATGTTTTACTGTTTTTGTAGTAGAAGCTTGTCTGAACATACTCTGTCTATATGTAAAGTCTACAGTTTATGTTATTTAAAAGTTATCATTGTTTATATTTTATAAGGACACATTGTGGCAGTGGACAGTGTGTCTCCAACAGTCTTCTGCATAGCCGAAACTGGAGACCTTGTCAAATGGTTTGACTGCAGTGACTACATGAGGGAACCCTCTGACATAGCAATAAGTGGCAAGGAATACTTTGTCTGCGACTTCAAAGTAAGTTAAATTGTAGTAAACTATAAAGGATGTTCTCTTGACATAGGATCGAAGGCCCACTTAGATTTCTAAACACAACAGCTAGAGAAATTGAAAAGGCATCCAAATTAAAGACAAAATCATATGCAAGTTGTATTCTGATAAATCACTTCTGACAGTAACCAAATGGGTTTCAGGCATCAATTGTTGAGATCAGTCAGCTGGACAATGGTTGAACAGTGGAACCCGCTAATGATATTCCATTTGCCAGAGAAAAAATATTATAATAACTGATATATCATAAACGATCAAGAAATTTTTGTTCCTGAACCGTTCCTGTAGTTGTCTCAACCGGAAATGAGAAACCCTATGATCATCAGACATTGATAGTTGTGGAAACATGGGAAAATATTAATACAAATTGATACAAATTAAGTATGTTGGAAACAATTTAAAAAAATTACATTTTGTCATGTAAATGGCCGATATATAAATTCTACATTCATTTTAAAATGATCCATTCTTTGGAACTAGCATTATTCTGTGTCCTAGCTAAGGCTATTGTTATGTAACCAGGCAAAAGGAGGAAAGCAGTGATGCAGATAATCATGATTTATAGATTTTGCGATGAAAAGTTGGTGTTACATTTTGTCCCATAAAGGTAATAATGTTTAGCTGCGCTATGTCAATTACAATCATGTGACAACAGTATCTGTACAACAGTATCTTTCTATAATAATAGTTTGTCTCTGTGATAAAATTTGTTGTGAATGTTTTTTCAGGGTCACTGTGTAGTTGTCTTCAATGATGATGGTGCATTTGTTCGTCGAATTGGCTGTGAAAATATCACCAATTATCCAAATGGGATAGATATCAGTGATGCTGGGGATGTCCTCATTGGCGACAGTCATGGCAACAGATTCCATGTGGGGGTGTTCCAACGTGATGGCTCTCTGATTGGTGAATTTGAGTGTCCCTACGTGAAAGTCAGTCGTTGCTGTGGACTAAAGATCACTTCAGAGGGTTATGTGGTGACCCTTGCTAAGAATAACCATCACGTTTTGGTACTAAACACTTTGTATATTACTTAAGAACTTGGTGAACACTGGTGACTATCCTGTAGTTGACAAAACAGCTATTGCTGTATTTCACTAGGGTGTTGTTGACAACTCGTGCCCATGATAAGTAGTTGTAGCCACATGTTAATGGTTTTTTTCTTTCCCTTTTTTGTTTTTGTTTATTTTTCAAGTTTACATTTACTCCCCTTTTTTCATTTTAACAAGTATAATTTATATTCCAGATGAATTACAGTAACATGTTTACGTCGACAACCCGGTCTTGTTTTGAATCAGAAAAAGTGAAGATAATGACATCCTTCAAATAAAAACTTACCAGTTATTTTCAAGTTGGGTTTGATATATGGAAGCAGATTTTGTTTTTCTTCTGACTAACAACAAAAATTGTTCTCACGTGTGTTGTAAAATTACTAGCTATGTAATCGGATTCATTGAGCAATGAAAAATACACGTTTACACTAATTCTGTAGTTAAAAAAAATGTAAAAAAAAAACACTCAAAAAACAAAGACAGCTTGAAGCTATTTATTAATGGCTTTAGGATATAGAGCATTATGTATACAACACATGCTTATCTCTAGTCACATACTCGACCCTTTATTAATGATATAACATGACCAGTTTTTTGCTGTGCCTTAAAGGGATTATGATTTTTTTTCTTTGTTATATTTTATCTGTGTTCATTCTAAAATAATGATGGCTTTACAATGAGATCACATATTTTGAATGGTGATGTTTAAAAGATATATGTATATGTCTTAGTTGTATACTTTTTAACTGGTTATATTACATTTATATATAGAATGCAGATTGCTCATGTCTTCATACATGGTTATTATTATGTATATTAACATTGGTATGTACCCACCATTATGCATACTGTAGTATATGGTATCATAATCAAAATATTGTTGATTTGTTTACTGAATTATTCCTATATGGGTTCATGCCGTAAGTAACCCAAGGGCCATTATTACATGGTGATAATTAAATATATAAGTTCTGTTTCTTTTTTTTCTCCAAAGGTATTCCGGATGTATATTTTATCCAACTAATTTTTGACTGCAGTTTAAATTTAATTAGAAAAAGGAAATGTGTCTCCCTTTTGAGCACATTTTTACAATCTACTTATTTAGTCTCACATTGTTTCAAACTTTTCATTATATGACAATCTAGTTTTAGTGGTTACAACGAGCTTTTCATGTTTTGAAGAGACATTTGTCTTAATGTTCATGTTCTCCAATGTTTGAAGAATTGTATTAGAATGTTACAAAATGTACAAAAAAAATTTTGAGAAATTATTTTATTTGAATGCTTTCAAATTTTGACAGTTTGCATTTAAAGATGTTTGATTGTTCCTATTCCTGTACTTTTCAGGTGTTTGATGTGAATAACGGTTTGCATATTTCTTTGCCAAGAATCTTTCACATTATTGTAAATAAGGGTAATTTACAACAAAAAAAGTTTAATTATTGTTGATTTATTTGCTGTTGTTGTTGGGACAGGTTTTTCGAAATTGCTCACAAACCTGTGGCAATTGTCAGCAGCATTTTTGTCCTGTGTAGTTTTTGACCCGGAAAGTGCCATCTCTAGTGATTACAAGATTTGTCGGTATTGCATATGATGAAACGGAAATCATCCTTGCAAGCATTAACAGCAATGTGATTGCAAATACCTTGCAATTATACATATTTTTTATTTGTTCTCTATTCCTGTCGTTTTCATTTATAGATTTGATTGAGAATCCTATTTACATACAATTAATAATGTTGATATTATATGTTTGGTCTTGGTCTAAATAGTGATTGTTATTCATATATGATTTGATATCTCCCAATTTTCTCATGCAGGGTCTAAGGTATTGGAAACGTGTTTCATTCAGGCGTGTTGGATAAATATTTGTTTTACTTGTAAATATTTTTGTGGTGATACAAAACTACATACCAGAGAAAGTGGACTTGATGCTATTCATGAGAAAATAATGTTAGGATGAATTTATTTTTTTGATCTTCAAATTTCTTTTACATATACAGCTGTCAAATCAAAATACTGAGAGAGAAAAAAATAAACATCTAAGCGATTGCAATAAACTAGTAATAATTGACCCTGCTGATTTTTTTTTTTACATACAGGTGATTTTATCACGAAATATGTATGTTTGAGGGACCAGTATCTAGTAGATTCTATATTGTTTTGTGCTAGTGAGCCTGTGTATAGCCGATAGTGTGAGTGAGGGAGTGAAATATATATATACATATTATTACAGTACAGTATACTTTGGTATATATATATATAAATATAGATGGATTGGATAACTAATCTTTTGTCTTGTATTCGGAGATATTTTCAGACACAATATATATATATGGACAACTTTTGAAACTTTTTATTTATGCTCAATTTCTGAATAATGCCTAAACATTAAAGGCAAGTTTAATATTTATACCATACCTCTAATACTGTATGATAAATATTATACCTCGCTCCAAAACATAATGCTAGTTTCATTAAGACATGCAAATGGTTGCCCATCTAAAAAATGTTTTTTTGGAAACCTATACTGGAAAATACAATGCCATAACTTAAAAAATGACTAATAACTTTATGATAATATTCTATGCAGGAGAGGACTTTCTTCACAATTTCATGTAAACTGAAAAAGAAAAAGTACCTGGAATTCACTATAGAAAAAATGTTATTATACAAGGTACATGTATTGAGGCTTGCATATATGATACAAATGTTTTCACTGGAGATTGCAGCCATACGTTTTGATTGAAATACATAGCTTTCATTTGACAGAAAGAGTTATATAAACCATACCCATAGGGTATGTATATCAGATGAGGTAATTAGTTTCGGCATGAGCATCCTTGATCCGGTCTGTTTTGGTCATTTTTACTGTGGTCAACCGATTTTGAGCGATTTCATGAGTATAAATGCATTAAATAAAAGTTTTGATAAACTTAACACATTTTGAAGAAATTTTGCTGCAATCTTCAGTGTTACATTATTTGCCAATTTATGCCCAAAGGAGATTTTTTTAATCATCTGTTAATGTTGATTAAATCAAGTGGTTTATAAATATCACATATATATTTTTTATTTGAATGGTATGTTGTATGAAGCAGGGCACATGAAGGGTTATTTACAATGAGTATTGTTTACTTGAAAAATATAACCTACTTTCACTTTAAGAAAATGAGAGTTAATCTTGTGGAGAAAAATACACCTGTGCAGTTGTGCTACAAGATATTAAGAAAAAATTACGAGACCCTCACTGATTTCTCATTTTACATTCATTTTTAAGGATCTCAAAAAGTGAATCAAAGTAATAACATAAACTGCAATATTCTTGCCATTGTGATTGTTAGTAATTCAAATAATTCAACAAATTAGCATAATACTCTTGGGTATGCATTTTGATCCTGTCTGCATTGCACAAGTTTGTTCTACTGGAGTCCAGGAATGTCACTTCTGGTACAGGTGGAACTACAAAATTAAAGTTTAATAGATGGTATGGAGAGAAAAAATAAACTGTCAAAAGAACAGTTAACTTTCGGATAAGAACTGTGTATTGCAAACAAATATGTTGCCAAATATTTTCCTAATTTTTATTATATTTTTCTTTATATACACAATATACATGAAATGTTTACATGTTGGATTTTTAAACTGTCTCTGATATATTTTTTGTGAATATTGTTTTTGATTCCTGTCAGCAAAAACAAATTGGCACCTTGATGCTACCTTAATCAGTGCTAAGCTCACCAGAGTATGATATGAAGAATAACAAGGGATTTGGATTCTTGTAATAATAAAATATCTGATCAACTTGTGAAGAACAACAGCAGAAAGTTGTCAATAGAAACAGAAAGTGTTATAAAGCAAAGTTTACGAACTATTCATTCAACCTTATGAGATCAAACAACAGAATTTGCTAAAGCTGCCATATGTTTAACAGAGGAATCTTTGATAGTAAGCATTGCATATCAGATTAGTGAAACATTATATATGTTAAGATATTAATTTTTGAATTGTAGCAAGTTATGCACCGATGTTATAAAATAATTACAAATTTAGTGCTTTTCTCCCATATTTTTTTTGTAATTATAAGGCTTTTTTTTAATATACAATGGGTATATAAATAGGCATAAAATGTCATCTTTAGTTCGTATGTCCCAGTGTTTTTTCTTGTTGATAATTTTCCATTTCATCATAATGCAAGCTGACAATTTTACTTAGTGTTTACTGTAAATGTTGATATTGAAGGACAGTTTAAAGAGATAATCATTGAAACCCTCCATGGATACGACTCGGGTCCACAGGGAATATCAAAACTTTTTTTACAATATAAAGTTTATTGAATAGAAGTGGTGCTCTGCCTTTGAAATATTGTATACTGTTTGCATATTTTGGCAAATTCCCCATACCCAGATTTATAATTTTAGTTCTTTGTATTTAGTAAACATTTTGTTTTATGTATCCCAGTCACTGTTTTTTTTTTCTTCTCTTCTCTTGCTTAAGTTATGTAATATTAATGTGTTTACATTTAATCCATGTTTAGTCCGACTTTGGTCAATCATTTATTTACTATTATATTATTTTCTCTTTAACAAAACAAGCTATTTGTTGATTGGATTAGGTTAGACCACTAATTTGGTTGATTTTCTGTATAATTTTTTTCAGTATTTAGTGTGATGTCGATCAGTCATCCATGTTGCTAGGTCAGATATTGTGAACAATGTTAGGTGTTTCTTTTATTTGGTAAGATTCATTTTCTTTATTATTATTTTTGAAATACTTTATTGATTATAATTACACTTTTCATATACAATTATATATAAATAATATTTTGCAATGTTATTTTTTTCTAATATTCAACCAATATCAATTCCGAGTGGAATAACCGCCATATACATATACAAATGTACAGCAATTATTGCATTAAACAAGCCTGATTTTAATTCACAATAGTGGCTAACAAAAGAATCTATTGATGTGTAGCAAAATTTGAACGGTGTAATATTGGTGTCACCACAGTCTAGACCTGCACATACCTTATATAGGCATGCTGTTACTAGGATAAAGGTGTAAAGAAAACATACAAGAGATTTCCTCTTTGGGATATTTTTTAATGTTTATTGCCAAATGAGGCTGCTTTGTTCTGTTTAACACAATATATAATGCATTCAGGAATTAATGATGTGTTTTATTGTAGGGGAATGGTTTATCATTTTCAAAATCATCCATTATTAATATTTAAAAAAAATAAAATGCAAAAAAATGTTAAAAAAATTACATGTGCTTTGATGTTTTTGCCATTCCTAGTTTTTTGTTCAATTTTGTAAATGATTTTGCAATGATATACAAATTAATTCACAAGTCTGGTTATTATTATACATTGATTTTTTTTTTGTCGGTTGCACATAATTCCTGGATGGTTGGAGCATATTTTTAGATTGATATATATGCAACTAATACAAGGCTGATTCGGATGTTGCATACTTTAATTTTAACTTGTGCAGGGAGTACCATGTGTTTTTATTGATTTTAACCCACTAAAGTCTGCATTCCATGATCAATGTGAAAGAATGTTGTTTGCCTCTAAAATGAAAGTGATCATTTATTTATTTGTGGCTTTTTTGTCTGTTAACTTGCCTGAAGATGTGTTTGCTACATTCTGGTGTGCTTATGTGAAACATCTTGTTCCAGATTGTGTGGCTCCTTTACAGTAGCTGCATGGAGGAATAACTGACCTAACAAATACATGCAATAAGTTTTCCTGTAGGTATTTCCAGATTAATATTGTTATTTTTGATACTGCATATTTATGAGGTGTTAATGTCACTCGGTCAGCTGTATATATAAGATGTGCTTTGGAAGATTGTAATTGCTATTTGCAGCTTTAATAATGAGTGGGAGTTGTTGGTTTGGTTCCGCATCCTAGGTAAAAAAATCTTGAAAAAATTGCATCTGTGATATATGATTTTAGCTGGCCAAGCGAGTGTAACTTTTCTTTAGAAAACTAGTCCCGAATAGCTGAAGGGATTTTCCCTCAAATTTGTATGCTTTCTGATGAGGATACTTGCATTCCTTTTAGACAAAGTTTCACAAGGTCTTCTTTAACCAAAATTAATACACATGTTATGATCTAGTGTTAGTATTGAGGTTATTTGGATAAATAAGAAATTCATAGTCTCGAGAGATAAATGAAAAATGCACAAAAGTTGAGTGATGCAGGTCCAGTGGGCCTCTTATCTGATATGTTGTTAAACTTGGGTTGGTACAACAGCTATTTGCAATAAAAAATGAAGTGGCAGCATGTTCTAATACTAAGGAAATACATTGATGAAAGCAAGTTCTGGTTTCCTGAAACATTGATATTCCTGTGAGTCTACACCTTATTCAGCAAGTCAAAGAAAGCTTGTGTTTACAGCTATTTGGGAGGAATGGCCAACATGGAGTTTCATTCTCATTCGTTAGATATGGTTCAATTGATTACTCATTTCTGAAATCCAATTCGTGTTTCAAAAGGGGGAAAAATACAGAATTTTCTTTTTCAATTGTTCTTAAATTGATCATGGAATGTAGGCAAATTTATCCAGCATATTGTATATTATAATGTAACATTTTGAAATGTGTACAAGAAGGGGTAAAAAATCTGTTCGTCACACATGATTTAAAACTAGGGGAATATGTAATTTTAATTACAGGGGCGGCAACTATAAGGTGTGGTATAAACAACGAATTTTGTGATGATTTATTTTCTTCTCCAATTCCATGACAGGAATTTTGTTTGAGGAGTCGGACATGTATGTGATCCCTGCTTGTCACTTCTTTACATTTTTCTAACGATTTCTTGTTCATATATGTAGATAGAAAAAAATATTGCGGTATGTTAAGAAACATTTTTCCTGATAAATTGCTAGTTTTCTGTCAGAATCTTCACAACCTATTCTTGGATATTATTTTTAAAGTCCCGTGTTAGTTGGTACTGTGTTTTGTTGTCTGTGATCCAGTTTGGGATGCGTTTTTGTTCCATGTTGTCACCGATTGAAATTACATATCGTCGGTAATATTTTAAAAAACTTTTGTACATTAATCCTTCCAACACTTGGAATTGGGTTTAAAGTATTAATTAATTTTACATGACATTGTGACAAAAATACTATTATCGGTTCAAGTCTTGCCCACTACCTCAATATCAAGGACTGCTTATGAAGATACTACGAATATTTACAAAACTGGAGTCAAGTTAAAACTTTGTATTAATTCAAAACTTTGAATTGAAAATAAGCTATATTTTATGAGACCATACTTTTTTGTTTGGAAATACTGATACTGAAGAGGGAAAACCAATAATAATCAGAAAGTGAAAATCTGGTCAATTTATAATTAGGAGGAGAAACTATGTCTATCAGTGCAGTCCTTGAGAGAAGATAGGGCTTAGAACAAAACCCTTCCTTCCTCAGCCAGTATGCTGTATATATACATAATAATAGGAGTTGTGTACTTACCGACATTGTTTATAGAAATGTATCTTTTTATTATTGATTACATATCTACATTTGTACAAAAAGTGGGAAACTAAACACTGGACAAGTTATGACATATAAACAGTCAGAACTGAGCATCTCTGGGTATGCTGTTGTATACAAAGAATGCATGAATCAGCCTTTTCTTTATACATATACTCAGCATTATATTAGTTGTTCTTTTCTGCTTTCCAACCAGAAGGGAATTTTGTGATAGTTTACACAAGTATTGATATATATTATTACTATTTTTGAAAAGAAAAAAAATTAACTATAATTTCCTATTGTTTATGTCCAGGAAATTGTATGCAAGTGGAATAAAGGTGTTTCATTCAACAACGTTGTTGGGTCTTTTTGTTTAGATATGCAATTGTTCCCAGGCACAGAGAAAGATGATGGTACAAAAATAGTATTCTTGTGTGTGTATCTGTGTAACGTACCAAAATGGCAACACTTTTTAATCTTTGACTGTAAGTACCAGAATAAACCATTACAAAGCAAATTCGGCAGTTAGATGTAGGGAACTTTTGACTTGATGTTTTCGTAAATCTTGATGGTACTGTGTGGTGTAATAAAATGTGAACTGGCCTTGCATACCGACGCAGGTTTTGGGAGCATATCTTGGCCATTGTATCGATGCACTGATTCACGTTCCCATACCAAAATGGAAACGTGACCTTTTATTCAATTCCATGTTTCCAAACTATATCTGGGTCGCTATTCATGTAGTCTTCAACTGGAAATGAAGATGCACTATGCTAATAATGAACCAGAGGGTCTGGATATCAAAAGTAATCCTGGCTAAATATTCTCTAAATAAGGTCCAAGGGAATTGGCCAGACCCCAGTGGCAATCCTTGTATCATATCTATATTAGATTTTTCATGCCATTCAGAAACTAGGTCCCTAGGGTTGTGGCCAGACCCCAGGATCAATAATTTAACGTCATTCGTCTCTTTATGCCCAACAATTGTATATATAGGTTTGGGGTGGGGATCTCGACCGTTTCAAAGTTGTGACCCAGGGGTTAAGTCTCCAAGGGTGGGGCAGACCCTGGGGGTCAATTCTTATATCATGACTGCATTCGTCTCTTTATGCCAAGCATTTGTATATACAGTTTAGGGGTGGGGATCTCAACCGTTTCAAACTTATGACCCAGGTACTAGGTCTCTTGAGGGTGGGGCCAGACCCCTGATCAATCCTGGAAGCATATACTCGGCAATTGTATATATGGTAATAGGGTGGGGATCTCGACCATTTCCAAGCATTACATTTTTTTTGCCTCATTCTTTTAGCCAAGGGGATCAGCCCCACTACTTGTACAATTTGAATCCCTGCCTCCCAGATATCCAGTGCATAGTTCTACAAAAGAAGTAATTTATAACAATATAGCCAAATTGGCCATGCCCCTCGGCCCCATCATTTGTACATTTTTGAATTTTTGAATCGCCAATACCTAGGGACGCATCCAGTCAAATATGGTTGATATCAATTCAATCTCTTAGTTCCAGAGAAGAAGAGTCTTTTAAAGCAATATAGCCAAATATCCCTTTTTAACCCTACCATTTGTACAATTTTGAATCCCTACCACCTAGGGATGCTTCCAGTCAAATATAGTTAAATTCCAGTAAGTGGTTAAGAAGAAGTCGTTGGAAGAAATTGTTGACATACAGACGACAGACGGATGCCACAGTATGGCATAAGTTGCTCAAAACTTGGGGCTCTGAAAAGGGTAAAAAAAAAAGGAATATCCAAAACCATCCAAAGGATATATCGTGGACATGGCAACCTCATGAAGACCCACAAGAAACTATGATATCCTTGTGAAACCCAAGGATAAAACATCTCCATATGTGTGTACAAAATTGGAAGAAAGAACTGACTAATCGTATATGTATGGAGAAACTGCAAGGCGATTTAGGTTCCCACTTTGTGAACACCAGAATGATACTTGCATGAAACCAAAGTGTGGAAGAAATCCATTCAGAAGTGTAGCAGTCTAGTTTCAGATCAACATCTGCAATTGCAGACTATACCAAAGCAAGTCATTTTGTTGACTAGGATTAATAGAATCTATCACTCCTGTGATAAAGCCAAATAACCCTTTTTGGCCCCGCCCCACAGCCCCACTATTTGTACAATTTTGAATCCCTGCCTCCCATGAATGCCTCTGACCAGATATGATTGATATCCATTGCACAGTTCTACCAAAGAAGTCATTTATAGCAAGGCGTTGAGATATATCTGTCTACATCACACAGAAGTGATCAATTTAATTTTCTCCCACATTTTCATATCGTTAAAAATACATTCACTGCAAAGTTGTTTTTGTGACCCCTATTCAACGAACTATGAATCAATTAAATTCATCAACATCATACCGAAAAAATACCTTCTCTGCAAATTTTTTTTTTTTACCCCAATGCACCGAACTATCATCAATTAAATTCATCAACAATTCTTCCCTTTTCACCATTTTTAGCTCACCTGGTCCGAAGGACCAAGGTGAGCTTATGCCATACCATGGCGTCCGTTGTCCGTACGTCAACAATTTCTTTAAACGACTTCTTCTTCTTAACCACTGGTTGGAATTAAACTAAATTTGACTGGAAGCATCCCTAGGTGGTGGGGATTCAAAATTGTACAAATGGTGGGGCTGACCTCCCAGGGGGCTGAGGGGCGGGGCCAAAAGGGGTCAATTTGGCCATATTGCTTTAAGCGATTTCTTCTCTGGAACTAAGAAGTGGATATCAACCATATTTGACTGGAAGCATCCCTAGGTGGTGGTGATTAAAAATTGTACAAATGGTGGGGCTGACTCCCCAGGGGGCTTAGGGGCGGGG